CGTACACACGCGCGCGCACACACACACGCACACACATTTTATTACAAGTACTGGTCATCTTCTGGTTTTCTTGCATTGTTTGCTGAAACATGTCTTGAAAGCGTTTTGTTACTTCAGGCAAGTAAAATGCATGAATCATAACCTAACACACACACACACACACACACACACATTATTACAAGTACGGGTCTCACACACACACACACACACACACACACACACACACACACACACACACATTTTATTACAAGTACTGGTCATCTTCTGGTTTTCTTGCATTGTTTGCTGAAACATGTCTTGAAAGCGTTTTGTTACTTCAGGCAAGTAAAATGCATGAATCATAACCTAACCAGTTGAACGTATGCATTATAACTGAATATTGTCTATGAAATCTAAGATCTGAGCATCGTTTCTTTCAGGCTGGGCATGGGAAAAGTGATGGTGATGCACCCGATGAATGTCAAATACCTGAGAAAGGTTTTGATGCATTGTTTTCAAACTTCTAATTATTGCTGCAGTTCCTTGGAGAGCTTTTTGTTGGCTCTGGGGACAAGGATATATAATTGAATGGTTAATATCGGAAGTGTTCCAGTTCTTACTCTATACTGTTCTCTTACTGTAGAAGTTTACTCTGAGAAGCTCCAAGAAATTGAGGTGCAACACATGTTAAACATGTCATCGGAATCTATCAGGAAATTGCATATTGATGAAAAATTGAAGAAAGAGTTCCAAGTTGAGTTGGCAAGGATGAAAAGGAATGATGAAGTCATGAGGAAGTTCTCCAAGGCTTTGTGGAGTGTGCTGAAACAGTATAAAAATAAGCTTGAGGTAAAGTTTCTCACAGGGCTTCACATATTTTTATCCTCAAGATCGGTACTTTTATGACTTCTGTTGAATCTATATTATTGCTGTTAATTGGATCCTCTATCTCGACACACGACGGTAAAAAAAGAAAAGAAAAAAAGAATTCTAACAATCTTGTTGTTTTCTTCTATAAGAAATTATAATATAAGCTGTTACTTGTGAGGAAATCGTTATTTATTACTAAAGTGTAGGTCCATTTTAGCCTGATTTTACTGCATCCGCATTTGTGGGCACTGTCTCACTATGGGTGTCTAGCTGACTTGATAACAGTTCTCCAGGACTGCATTTTTTGTATCTCATTAAACTTCAGATGTTGTTAATCTATTTTAAGTTGGTTACAACTTACAAGATGAATTAATGCCGTTTTGCAACCTCCAAAGATACAGAGTTTGAAAGTTGTCTGGTGTTTTTTTTATTGCCTTGTCTTCAAGTTGTAGACAGGTCAAGTGTCAACTGAAGAACTAACCACAATTAGTAGATTAGGATGAAGGTGATATAGTCCAATGCATACAGCGTCAATTTTGTATAGTCTGACTCAAATTCAGTTGCAGTACAACTGGAGTCTCCTTTGCTTCATTTTGGTTGTGAAGACTGCAAACGTTGGCCAACTATTCTTCTATAGTTGCTTCCAAAGTGAAATGTCAGCCCCAACTTGGACAGGAGATGATATTATAAAATGGGTGTTTTGATGTCAATGAATGGATGACTATAATCCGCTGATTTATCAAGGGGAAAGGTTATGGATGACTATCTGGTCATACACACGTACATGCATGCAGGCAAGATTGTGGAAAGCGGAGCAAATCGGTGATGCACGACTTACGCTTTTTGGGGGGCTTGAGCGGTTTAAATCAGGAAAAACGTTAAAAAAAGTTTGAGGCTTAAGCGGTTTAAATCGGAAAAAACGTTAAAAGAAGATCCACTCGAGGGGATCGATTGTGGAGGAACTTCATCGAGGAGCTGTAGGAGGTGAAGAAGGCTGTAGTTAAGGGAATTGGCAGTGGGCGAGCTTCATCGAGGAGCTACTGGTCGAGGGATGAAGGGGAAGGAGGAAGAAGCTGTTGGAGCTTTATCGAGAAGTTGCTGGAGGCTATGGTCGTTGGTGGCGATGGAGGGGGAGCTGAGCTTTGTCAGTAGTATTGTGGATGGAGGAGGCGGATAAGGTTTTTTGCGTTCGGTAGTAAACATGAGAATCGCGAAGGGAAGAGAAAAAGAAAGGGTGATTTAAGATATAAGAACGGACCGGGTTCGGTTCAGGTACAAAAATGCAGCCCAAACGCTAAAAATTCACTTTTGTTTAAAGTGCTTTCAGCACATTTTAGCGCTTAAAGTGTTTTTACACGCTTCAAAGCGTTTTTCGAGTAAACAACACCAAGAATGCTTAAAACCACCAAAAATAGCAAAAGTGAAGCAGCTTGGGCCGCTTCTGCTTCAAAATCCACTTAATCGGGTCTTTTTATGCTTTTTAAAACCTCATATGCATGCATGCATGAGGGATATTGAGAAATATGGGTATCCTTGGAACCGAGGACGAATTTGGTTCTTGGCATTGACATGACTACTTCTCATCCACTTACCTAGTGGTTGCGTAATCAGGTGGGGATTATTTTCAAGTGGGCACCTTTGAATATTTGCATAAGAAGTGATCACATCACTACGAATAACCAAATTTGTCCTTGTTACCAAGGATACTCATTTCTATCTCGCTTTCTCTGTGTATGTAATGAGGTGACATCTCATTTTGCTAAATGAGTTACCAAGAGATAGATGAAACTTGAAAGATGATGCCGACCATGCTAGTCACATCAGGTGGATCATGACATCTATCGCTTGACAGCTCATTTTGGTAAATGTGGTGTCAGCTCATATCCAGTACAACTTATGAATATACTGTCCTGCAATTCTTTCATTGAAGTGGTCTTGGTCTTCATCTTGCATGTACTTTGGACAACCACATACTCTTCCTCCAGTATCATTATAGCCACTTTACAGTGACCATCAAATGTGATTGTAAAATCGTTTCATTATTGATCTGGTGTTAGCCTATTGTTCCCAAGCTACTACTGAATATTGGAAGTCTTCACTCTCGATCTCATATAAACTGTGATCCAGTCACTATTTCACTGATTTTCATGATGTCAACAGGAATCGGAAGATAAAGTTAGAAGTCTCAAGAAAACCCTCGCAAAGGAAATCAACCAAGTCGTAGAGCTGAAAAATGAGTTGAAGGAATTAAGATCTTGTTGTTCATGCTATAAACATCTTTACACTGAAGCAAATCCTAGAGCGAAAGCTGATAGTCCATTCACCCATCCTGTAAATTCTCTGTCAGTTTCTTCTCCAGATCATCTTGATGTCAAGAACACAGATACAGAACTCACTGATGGTATTACTCCAACGGTGAGCGTTACCTTACTGAAATGATGTAGTTCTAGTTTATTTCTCTATGTATGTCTTCAGCAATTTAGTATACATAAACCATGTTTACTTTTATGCTGGATTAAAAGCCATGAGGTCAATCAGGTGTATATAACTTCATATAATGCTCCTAATCCAGATGTTCCTGCTCCTGAATCCCATTGTCTCGTACGTGTAGTCTTGTAGTATTAAAGATGAACTTGTGAGCTACATGTTATCAACAGCATATAATCAAAGATTTCTCTTAATTATGTTTTACTTTTCTGTATTAGCTTACTTTTAGCCTTGTACAAATGTATAGCATTAAGTTGCTCCTCAGTTCTTTTGTCAGGAAAAAACTTACAACTGCAAAATTTATGTGCAACTTTAAATTCTGAGTATTTAAATTTGAACCATTCTTGACATAAATCACATGATTATAATACTCTTGTCTTAAGGAAATGCAAGTATTTCCTTCCACGTGAACTGCAGTTGAGCAAAAAAATTGAAACACATGTAGCTGGAAATGCCTTCCTCAGGGAGTTACTAACATGTTAGTGTTCCTACAGCCTATTTGTCATAGCCCTGAAATTTCTACTGTGGCAGCAAATGAAGGTGAAGGTTTAGGACTGAAAGGGATTCTGCTCGACGCGAATTTATCAGGTTCCAGTATTATTTTATTGGACTTTATGAAGTTTGATCTGAGAAAGTTTTACAAGTCATTGGCCTGCCAAAATAATTTTCTGAAATAGCAGGAAATATTATAATACACATTTAGATCAGCAACTCACATCTTTCTTGTTGATTGTTTTTCAGGAGATAGCAGAAGTGCATTTCGTTCCGCAGCAGAGCGCCGTTCTTCTGTGGTAGAAAGGAAAAAGGTGTTCTTACTTCTCTTCATCTCTCTCCTTCATAAGTTGATAATGTGGATATGAAGTATAAAGTTCCTGCATGCCCTTATTGTAACATATGTTTCTTGATTGTCATTTGAAGTTGCTTTTGTTTGTCTTGAATATATGTACGCTGAAATTTTATTTTCTCTTCAGATCTCAGCTTATGATTCTGTGTACTCAAGTTTTCCAAGTGGATTCTTAGAACGCCAGAATGATCAGGTTTAAATTGATGTTCATAATGTTTTCTTTTGCATCAAGTATGAGTATGAGACATCTATCAAAATGTTTTCTTTTGCATCAAATATGAGCACGAGATATCTATCAGAATGATCAGGTTTAAATTGACATCCATAAGGCTTTAAACTTCCTAACATGGTTATGATGTCTTCCCAAGTACCGTTGCTTTTATACCTAAGTGAATCGCTCCTTTAAAAAGTGCACTATTCACTAACAATCTGATGGTTCCTCATTCAACGAATTATCTTGAGGTTGACGATTGGATACCTATAATTATAATACAATATTTGTTTTTTTAATTTTCTAATGCTACACACTCCCTAGCACGTGCGCCCGCTCGCGCACACAAACACAAATATTACCCAATTTTATTCTTTAACCTTACCTTTCAGTTTCAAATTGTTAAGCAACGAAACTTTCAATCGGGAAGGTGCATCTAGAGGGATAAAAATACAATAACGTCAGTAGCAACAAGTAACAACAATGCCTATACAGATTTAGACTAATTTTTGGCATAGGGTACATGAATTCCTTTCTTCCAATTTAGAAGGATAGAATCATCCGCAGGATTTCTGAGGTTTTAAGTTCAGCAATAAATATGTAAAGTTTCTGTGAGTTGGTGAGTGCTTCTCTATTAATATATTGATTGATAGGGTTGCTTTGGCATGCAGTTTGCAGAAACATGCTTGGGACTGTGATAATCCCTTGAAAATTCCTGCCTTTAACATGACAGCAGCTCCAAATTCATGAGAATCTGGATTCCAGTTTTCTTCTCATTCCAACATTCATGTACTTTGGTCCCTTTCATAAGTGGGTAAATTACACTCTCACTTGGTTGGAACCTTATCCTACACAACCCTTCCTCTTCCTGCACTTTCTTTTCTCTTCTCTTCCAGATACTGCACCATCACTACTATCTTCTCACCATTATTACCCTGACGGCACATTGACCTGCATCTCCAGTGCCCCGCCACCACTATCCTCACTCATGCTACCACACTTGTTATTACCGCTGGCCTTCACCATCCCCCCATTCATCACTACACTTGGACCTCTGCCACCATTGCTGTCATTACCACCAGGTTCACCACTATTGGAGCTGTTAGCGTTGTTGCCTTCTGCCACCACTATTTGCTATGGTTCTTATCATCACCCACTAGTCCACTACTGCTACCGCCATTGTTACCGAGGCGTGCACCCTGGGTACGGGGCGCTGCGGGCTGGGATAATTGTGTCCCGCACACGCACACGAAGCGTGTGCCTCGCGCGCGTCTTGCGTGCACTTGACACATGCGTCATGTAATACTCTTTCTTTTGTTTTTTTTCTAAAATAATTTACCTATTATATATTTACATCATGTAATACTCTTTCTTGCTAGTTGCTAATCAATTCTCCATCTTTTCATGTTTAACCTATAAAAAGAAAATAATAATTAGTAATTTAGTATACTTGTTTGCTAATTGTAACTTCCTTGTCTAATTAGCATGCTAACTAGAAAATTATGAACATTTAAATATGTAACTGTTACCTCAATTCTTCATCTTTTCATGCTAACTAGCAAATAGAAATTAAGAATGCTAGCTAGAAAATTATGAACAATCATGTTTTTTAAATCACTTAATTGTTACTTAAAAATACATATATCATATTTTAAATGAAAATACATATTTCTTATTTGTTATTTGCTTGTTTTGTTTCATGGACTTTTGCTTATGTTGGAGATTATCTTGCATTGTGATTTGTGAAAATTTATGAACTTCTCTATGTTATGCATGCTAATTAAGACTCTTTCGTGATTTAGTAAACCCACTACTTCTACCATTACTAGCAAAGCCAGATCCACCCTAGTGACCCTACCCAACTTCACCCCACTACCATCATACCCTCAACCACTAACAGCAACTCCACTGCACACTACCTCCACATGTATCAGGACTCCGGCACCATCACCATCGCCATAGTCACTGCCACCTCTACTGCAACTAAAGACATCATGCCTACCTTCATATCCCCCCACACCACATCTTCATACGACCTCCATATCCATTAAGCTGGGAACCTCCTCTGCCCTGTACAGTATATTGCAAGATCTGACAGAATTACTTCTGGAAAATATATTTGGAAATGCCAGGTTGCTTGAAAACATTTCACAAGATATGGATTTAATTATTGGAAATGCAAGTTACACCAAACTCTGTATTCAAGTTACTGGGAAAATGGTGAATTTTGGAATCTGTGTATCAAATGCAACCAATATCTTGTTTTGGTTTATTTTATTGTATTAGCTGCCTTATGCCTTATGTTGTTGTTGTTTTCTTTGCAAGTGTGCATATTGCTCTTTTTCTTTATGAAGGAATATCTGAATAATTGGTTGATAAGCAGAACATACCATTTTTTATGTTTGTTTCTAGTTTCTATGTGTTTCCTATATATTGAGCTAATGCGTCAATATTTGTACTTGTAATGGCTTCTAGACAAATGAAAGCCTCCCCGAACTGGAACATGACCTTGAGGATTCAGAACCCCCATCTAATCTAAGTGTCACGGACCCTTCTGATTTGAGCATAGCAGGTATGGATACTGATTTCTTCTAGTACTTGATTTCTGACCATTACATCCTTGAAATAAACAGCAAAGTCTAACTATCTATTTTAACTGGTGCATGATTGTTTGGCAGAAATGACTTGTGAGAATGTAATCAGCTCCTCAGTACTTATCTATACAACAGAAAGTGATTCAACACTAAGTAAAGAGTCTCTCTCCAAGGATGATAAAAAGGTAAGAATCTTGTAATGCCTTAATTCGGTAGATTGTCTTGATGGAAATGTCTCATGTAATAACCTCAAAGAATAAAATTTAATGCAATTTTCTTTTTGTAGCGATGAAACATGACATTTATCATGCTGTTGAATATCTAATGAGATTGCATCATTTAATTTCTTCCTAGTTAGAGATTTCTGGTATTGCCGATTCGAGTTACATTTCTGAGGATGTTAATGGACATAGGCATGAGGTAATTGGTTTATTTTAGGAAATGACTTAACTAAGTTAGATATTGCAATTATTCTTTTGTTTCTCCTCTAATCCTCATGCAAAAAAATAAAACTAATAATAATAACATAATGATGGTACAGATTATACAAGATGAGTCCAAAAGTTCTCTTGTACAAGGTCACTGCAATAAAAATCTAGTTCAGTTGGGTAGCCTTAGGGCTATGGAGATACCATCCAGCAAAAGCTTCACAGGTTTAATGAATGATTATTTGTGTTTTTTTCTTGTGTTTGTTATTGTTCTTTTCACTCACAATATTTATTTATTATGGAGGCATGAACTTTGCAGAAGAAACTTCACACTCAGACGTCGTGGTCGTCCCTGATCTGGCAGAAGAAAGCACAAGTGTCTTGTCTTCAACTGATAGGAGCAGCACATTACTTATGGAAAAGGTCGAAGTCTCTCCTGATTTGTTCATTACCAATGTTGCTGCTCATATTTTTATCCATTTTATATAATAAATGACGGCCGTGTGATCCTCTAGTTGATCTCTTTTACCATATCTTATCATTTGCGGTATATTTCAGGAAGAAGCCTCTGATACTGCATGTTCATTGTCATCTGCAGAGGACACAAAGAATCTGAACGTCGGACGACTACACAGTTTATCTGGATCTATACAATATCAAGTGCGCTTTCATATCTGTCTTTTGTTCACTTCCTGTAAAATGCTCTTAATCATTAGTATGATTAATGTTCATCATGCAGCCTTTGTATCAGAACGGAGGTAACTTACATGAATGCAAACATAAACCAAAAGATGTTGAAGTTATTAAAGATGCGGAAATCTCACACAATGCAAGTTTAACAGGTTGTTCCTCATTGCATCTTCCTTTTGCATTCTTCTTGCTTTTAGATTTACTTTTAGGGCCATGGAGATATCATGTCGCAAAAGTTCACAGGTCCAATGAACATGATTATTTTTGTGTTTTCTTTTCTAGTGTTTGTCATCTCATAATATTTATTTCGCACGAAGGCATGAATTTTGTAGAAGAAACTTCACAGTCAGACGTCATGGTGGTTCCTGATCAGGTAGAAGGTAGCACATATGTCTTGTCTTCATCAGATCGGTGCAGCACATTAGTTGTGGAAAAGGTCAAATCCTCATTTGATTTGTTCACTATCAATGGCATTGCTCATATTTTCATGCATTTTTCATTTAAATGAGGTTTTTGTAGTCCTCTATTTGATATTTTTGTTATACCTTATCATTTGGGGTGCTCATTCCAGGTAGAAGTCTCGGATACTGCATGTTCAATATTATATGTAGAAGACATTAATAATCTGAACAATGAGGTATGATTCTGTCTATGTGGATCTCTACGAATAAAGTTTGCTTTCATATCTTTCTTCTGTTCAATTTCTGTAAAATGCTCTTAATTATTTGTAAGATTAATGTTCATCATGCAGCTTTTATATCAGAAGGGAGGAAACTTACATGAATGTGAGCATAAATCTGAAGATGTTGTGGTTATTGAAGATGGGGAAAAGGAGTCCTCACACAGTGCAAGTTTAACTGGTTGTTCATCATCACCTTTTCCTTTTGTGTTCTGCTTGCTTTTAGATTTGCTTTTAAGGTCATGGGCGTATCATATAGCAAATGTTCCACAAGTTCAATGAGCATGACTATTTCTCTTGATTTTTTCATTGTGTTTTTATTGTTCTTTGGACTCAAGTTTTATCTCTCATGGTCGTATGAATTTCACAGAGGAAACTTCACACTCAGATATCGTGGCCATTCTTGATCAGGTGAAAGATAGCACAAGTCTCTTGTCTTCATCAGACGGATGCAGCACGCTACTTGTGAAAAAGGTCAAATTCTGATCTGATTTATTCATTATCAATGGCGTTCATATTTTCATCCACTTTATCTATTAAAATCATGGTTTTGCCATCCTCTAGCTGATACTTCTTGCTGTATCTTATAATTTGGGGCGCTTACTCCAGGTGGAAGCCTCTGATACTGCGTGTTCAATGTTATCTGTAGAAGACACCAAGAGTTTGAACAATGAGGTATGACTAAACTTATCTGGATGTATACAGTATAAAGTGCTTTCATATCTTTCTTATCTTTAGTTTCTGTAAAATGCCCTTAGTCATTATTAAGATTAACTTTCATCCTGCAGTCTTTATGTCAGAAGGGAGAGAACTTATATGAATACAGACATAAAGCTGAATATGTTGAAGTTATTAACAATGGGGAAAAGGAATCCTCACAAAATGCAAGTTTAACAGGTTGTTCATCATTATATCTTCCTTTAGCATTCTGCTTTTGCTTGTAGTTTTCTTTGACAAGTGTCAGCCAATACTAGTTACTGCAGTGAAAATTATATATACATCAGTGAGTTGTATTCTATATTTTATAGATATTTTCCCACTTCATCTTTTTGAAATGACACCAACAATTTTATGTGTGGTCATTACTTGCAGAAGCACATTCACATACGTTGTATCATCCTTCTAATTCTCATAGCATAGAAGATGATGAGAAGAGCATAGCACATAAAAAGGAATCACTTCAAGAAATCAAGGTTAGTTCCTCAATAGTAATCTAAATCTAGTATTTTTCATCTGTTTATGTCTGGTAATATGCTTTCTCCTTTTTCCTTAACTTGCTCAAGGCTGGTCAGGCATGAAAAAAGTGCTGCAAGTCTTGTAGCTGGATAATAGTATAATTTTCCCTGCTCGTTATGACTCCAACATGAGCGGAACCTCTTCCCATAATTATATTTTCGGTTGTGTGCGTGTGTGGGTTTCTTTTTTGGGTGTGGTGGTGGTGGGTGGGTGGGGTGGGGGGGGATAATTGGAGTGCTAGTGAAAGGCATTTTCAATAAAATAACTAATGAAGCTGTTAAGTACAGAATATGTAATAATTAATAGTTGAAAGTTGCTATTCTACCTAGCAATATAATATTGAATATATAATGCATTTGAAAAAATGGCCACATCAAGCCTAGGGAATATAGGATACAGAAAATGACAATATATCTCAGTGGATTGAACCCGAAAAGACTGGATAGAGATTCGAAAAATGAACACTGAAAGTTACAATTAGACAATCCGCAAATTGTTCAGAATTGAGTTTACTACAAGAGGAGAACTGAAGAACTGTTCAGAGAGATACTCCATATCTGTTCTTTTTCTGAGTTAAAACATGTATTTTAATTACTGTAGGAGCGTTTGGCAACCATGGCGTTTTCGCCGTTTTCGTTTTTTTTGTTAAAAAAAAACAATGAAACGTGTTTGGCAACCGAGGCGAATTTTTAACTTGACCCTTTACTAAATCCAAAAAATAAACGCTTTTCTTAAAACACCAAAAATGTGTTTTGAGATTCCGTTTTTTTATCTAAGTCATC